AAATATTTACAAACTTGTCGAGTCATCATTTAGATTGCTTCAGTTGAGTGTGCACTAGACCATAACAAATCTTTCCGGTCTTTTGATGCATAAAATATTTACAAACTTGTTTAGAGTTTAGCTTCGAGACTTTGAAGGCTATGAGATACATTCTTTGAAGAATAAGCTACGATTTTATGCCGCTCATGTGATTCATTGTCAGAAATATGAATTTTCTTCTCTTGCAAAATTACTAAAGAAACTAACGGAAACAAGGATGGACACATAATACAAATTGATTGGTCAATTAATTCGCCTAGTGTTAACCTTGCCCGTTTCAATGAGAATTACAGAGAGAACATTTTCAGCAATGAAACATATGAAACTTATATGCGCAACAAAATGAGCGACGACATTCTCGTTGTTTGCTTACCTTTTTTTCTTTTCGAGAGAGTATACTATTGGTATGAATGAAAATTCCATTATCGATGAATGTGCTAAATTAAAAGACCTTCTTGCTCAATTGGCATTATAATGAAAACTATAGATATTGTATGTTTTTGTTTACGGTATGTAATATTCTATTCAAATGCGACCCAATGCTCTACTGTGTTCTGGATCCGCCGATGCACACAATGACTTAGCACCCTAATTTACTTTTAAGTATCATTAGCTTTGGTTCAATAGTAATTGGATGACCAGCAATATTTCATTTCTTTATTATAGATATTGTAATGTGTGTCCATGAAAAAAATTATTCAATAAAAAACTATATTCGTATTCTAAAAGTTAATGATTCTTGAAAAAGTTTATTTCATTTTCTAATAACATCAACATTCATTTAAAACAAAACAATTTTTTTCCGTTGAATAACAAAAATAGTAAAATACTCTTCACTTCTAACTAACATAAACATTTTTAGATAAATCGTAGGGAAGCACGAACCAATTATATAGTATAATATACACCATCAACATTTTTGTCTACGACCAAGATAGTCTTTGAGGCAAGGAGGGCTTAACTGACGAAAAGGTTGGTTAAGTTAAAAGAATGATTAAAACTAAAAATAAAATGAAAGCAAAAGTCTAAAGTCCACATTCACCACTTTGTATGCATGTCGTATACATACATCACCAAGACTGGCACAATCACTTGCAGTCTTGCACCCTTCCTATAAAAAACAACATTTCGTCTCCGCTATTCTGCAACGCAACAAATTCATTCCTTCAAACATTCGCCCCATTTGTTTAGTCCTCAATGAAGCAAAATCAAACCTCTGCTCGCCTCTCGCTTCTCCATCCCCTGCTTCTACTCATCTCAGTCACATATTCCCCTTTCCAAACAAACGCCTTAGGGAACAACGAAACCGACCGACTAGCCTTACTGGAATTCAAGAAAGCCATCACCAAAGACCCTGATGGAGTATTCCACTCCTGGAACAGCTCCCTCCATTTCTGCAACTGGGCTGGGATCACCTGCAACCAAGAACAGAGAGTCACCTCTCTGCTTCTCGTAGAACACAGCTTTCAGGGCACTCTGTCTCCACATGTAGGCAACCTCAGCTTCCTCCAGTCTATCAACCTAACAGACAACCACTTCCGCGGCAGGATCCCCCCAGAATTCGGGAACCTCGCTCGCCTCCGGGAGCTGGTGCTCGTCAGCAACTCGCTCGAAGGCGAGATTCCGATCAACCTGACTCGCTGCACCCAACTCAGGGGGATTTGGTTGAGCGACAACGGTCTGGTAGGAAAGATCCCTCAGGAAATCGGGGGTTGGTCTAACTTAGAGGTCATCAGAATGTCGAGGAACAATCTAAGCGGTCCGATCCCGGCTTCGTTGGGGAACTTGTCGAAGCTCCAGGACTTCGGCGTTCCTTATAACAATCTGGAGGGTCGAATTCCTGACACCGTGGGTCAGCTTTCCAGAATGAGCGCATTCGTGGTGGGAGTGAACCAGCTCCGCGGTACGATCCCTCCCTCGCTTTACAACTTATCAACCATGACCAAGTTGACATTGATTCACAACCAATTTCACGGCCGAATCCCTCTGGACATCGGGTTTACACTCCCCAACCTGCTCATGTATGGAATCAACTTGAATTGGATGTCCGGGCCGATCCCTTCGTCCTTCTGCAACATGACTCGGATGCAGGGGATAACCATGAATGAGAACAGCTTCTCCGGGAGCATCCCGTCTTGTTTCGGGAGTCTCCCGGATCTTGTGTATTTTCACGCAGGGGTCAACAATTTGGGAACCAATTCATCGGATGGGAGCGACTTCGAGTTCATGACAGGACTGACCAACTGCAGCCAGCTGCAAGAATTGGGTGTCACTTTAAACAATCTTGGCGGGAAATTGCCGGCTTCTGTGGGTAATTTGTCACAGCAGCTCTATCAACTTTATCTTGGGATCAATGCGATCATAGGGAATATTCCTGAAGAGATTGAGAATCTGGTCAGCTTGAACAATGTTGACCTGTCTAATAATCTCTTCACAGGGGAAATCCCTTCTTATTTTGGCAAGTTTCAGAGTCTACAGGGGTTGAGTTTGGCAGGGAACCAATTGTCTGGCCAGATTCCAAACACGCTGGGAAACATATCCCAATTGACTCAACTCGACTTATCTGAGAATCAGCTTGAAGGCGGCATTCCTCGCAGCCTTGGAAACTGCCGTCAGCTCAACCAGTTGGATCTTTCGAGCAACAAGCTCACTGCCGAAATACCCACCGAGGTTTTTAATCTCTCTTCTCTCTCGGTTCAACTAAACTTGTCTCGGAACTTGTTTGGCGGCCAGGTCCCAGATGAAATCGGCAGTCTAGAAAACGTTGAAGCCGTCGACCTGTCTTACAACTTTCTAACAGGGGTAATGCCGGTAACGATTGGCAATTGCAAGAGCCTGAAAATACTGAACATGCAGCAAAACTCCTTTGATGGGAACATTCCTTCAACATTGGCTTCGCTCAAAGTCGTGGAAAGTTTGGATCTTTCCATGAACAATTTCACCGGAGGAATTCCTCCGGGTCTGCAAGATATTCAAACCATGCAGTATTTGAATCTCTCGTTCAATCATCTGCAAGGAGAGGTCCCAACTAAAGGGATCTTTTCAAACTCAAGTGGTCTATCTGTGATGGGCAACCTCATGCTTTGCAATGGAATCTCGGAGCTCCGATTACCAAATTGCCCGACTAAAGCAGCTAGGAAACATAAAAGTGCTGCCACTATTAAGTTGACGCTCATAACAGTGCTGGTGTCACTTTTTATCATTTTTGTATCAGGATTACTACTGCTACGTTATAAAACGAGGAGATCAAGGAGGCAAACTTCTGATGCAGATTCTGCTTTAAAGCACTTTGTGATGGTTTCATTCAAAGACCTCTATCAAGGAACCAATGGGTTCTCCTCTGAGAACCTGATCGGATCTGGGGGATTTGGCACCATCTACAAAGGAGTTTTGGAACAAATGGAGACTCCCGTAGCAGTCAAGGTACTCAACAACATTCAAGACAAGAAAGCTCATAAGAGCTTACTGGCGGAGTGCAATGCACTGAAAAATGTGAGGCACAGGAATCTCGTCAGAATCCTGACCTACTGCTCTAGCTTGGATCACAAGGGTAATGATTTCAAGGCTCTAGTCTTTGAGTTCATGCCCAATGGGAGCCTAGAAGAGTGGTTGCACTCTGATCGCAACCTAACCTTGATCCATAGGCTTAACATTGCGGTCGACGTGGCATCTGGACTGCACTATCTTCACCATCTTTCCGGAACTCCAATAGTTCATTGCGACTTGAAACCCAGCAATGTACTTCTGGATGCAGACATGATTGCTCATGTGGGTGATTTTGGTCTGGCGAGGATCTTGTCTACAGATACTAGCAACAGTCCCTCCCAAAGCAAAAGTAGCACCATTGGAATCAAAGGAACAATTGGTTATGCCCCTCCAGGTGATGAAACAAAAAATCAAAGAGTTAAAAAAAAACCCATAATGTTACACATTCTCTATTTTTGTTATTACATCAGATCATGTGATGGTGATATTATTGTATGTTTGGTTCTTTTGAAATGCAGAGTACGGAATGGGAAGTGATGTGTCAATGGAAGGAGACATGTACAGCTATGGGATACTTTTGTTAGAGATGTTCACGGGAAAAAGACCCACAAATGAGATGTTCAAAGAAGGTATTAATCTTTGCAACTTTGTGAAAGCAGCAATTCCTCAAGACATATTATCAATCTTGGACCCGTCAATGTTTCTCCCGCTAGTCGCAATTGGGGATAGGGGAGTGGTACGAAGCAGGACAACAGGACATACGGGTGATACAGGCATTGAAATTGAGGAGATGGTGTTGACCCAAAGTGCTAGAGACTGTTTAGAGTCGCTGCTGCAAACCGCTATAAGTTGCAGTGTAGATTTGTCGAGAGAGCGTATGAAAATAGCTGATGTTGCGAGAAAGCTAACTTCCATACGAGATTCTTTTGTTGCATCAACCTCCATCGCGAGGCGCATGCCAGAGCGAGGTTGAATGGTTCACTATAGGCGAACTTCGATGTCGAATCCTTTCTTGCATTTTCATGTTTTCATTTCCTTTTTGTATTTTATCAACTATCAAATGAGATGATGCTTTGTTATTCTTTTTTTTTTTTGGTAGAAAGATAGACGTCAAGGGCGTCTAGGATCATGTATTAATAAAACGAGGTTGGGAGATTCCCATAACATCATAATCTAACCACCTACAAAGGTCAGGGCTACACACATCAACATGATGTGTTCCAAAAGGTAAACTATGGCCAAGACTAGCAAAATACTTTGAGAACGTTTAGGTGTGATTTTGAAGAGAAAAGAATTAAAACACAATGCTAAAGATACTCTGAAATAGAGCTAACCTTACCTAATCAATGACTGAGCATTCAATATGAGTCTAATAACTAGAAGACATATAACCTCACAAAACAAACCATTGTCTGCAAGTGAGACAAGAAGCAAATTAAACAAGCTGCATTGGCAATTATTTTTCAGAAGAAAGTGCAGTTGCATTACATTTATAGCATAGTAAGCAAAAGTGAACACCAATACCTGCACCAGGGGCAGTAATCTTGAACCTGCAGATATGAAAGGCAGAGTAACAAAGAATAAGAATCAAGTAATAGCATAGAAACAACAAACAGCCATAAAAATGTAATTGCATACAAACCCTGATTGGTAGTTTCTAACTAAAATTTCAATTTTCAACAAATCCAACTTGCCTTCGACGGTGGGGATCTCCCTGAACAAAAAATCTAGTCCTTTTGCAGGGGGAAAAAAAAAGAGCACTGCACCTTCATTTTCTTACAGGTTTTGTGGAATCATGTCAAGCAATATAAATTGGCCATAGTATCAAATAAATTGATGATATAGAGTGATTCTCTAACAAATAAATTCAAAATATTATTTTGGCCACTGAAACTTCTTCCATGTTGTTACTATCAAGCTTAAAGAGTTTAGTTTCTGAAATTACTCAGAAGAGAAGTGGTCATATCATGAACTCTAAACTGCTCCACCGGGTGCATTCACTTCCTCCACTGCTGCCATGCTTGTCAATGTGCTCTCTCATGGACTATTCCCATGTTATTCACTCCCTTTTCTCCTTGCAGATATGTTGCTAAAAGAACAAAGGAATCAAAATCATTCTGAAAGATATATATTGAGGCAAGATTAAGAGATGGTTAAGAACGAAAGCAGCAGAATTCCATTTCTCATAGCTGTTCTAATCCAAGTTGTACATACTTCGTCTTCACTGTTTGATTCTTAAGAAAGATTACGTATCCATTTTAACATCTGAATGTTGAAGCATACCAATAACAATTCGATTACATTTTTACTGATTTTGCCCTACATCTCTAGAACAGGGTTGTTAGTAGGAATAAATTACAATTGAGAAGGTAGGAATTTGACAAACGCAGAAGTGAAATTAGAATGTACAAAGACTGCAGAATGGTAATTGGAATTGTGGAACATGTAATTGAGATGGTGATGCGAACCCGATCAGAATCGAGGGGCTAGAAGTTAGGTGGAAACATAGCAGCGAAAGACGGGGAGCGCGTCGATGGAGACTTGGGTAAATCACCAGTCGGACAACCTAGGAAGATCAGAGAAGACACACGGAGTGCTATTGAAAATCCTGCGAACGACTTGGCCAATCGCAAGCCAGGGCTTAGGATATAAATAACTAAATCTGAACCTTTAAATCTAAGTGGTCCAGAAAATTCAGATCTAAAAGCAATTTATTTTCCCTAGTTTTCTTAATCGGTTCTTATCTTCTTCGTTCTAACTCGAATTTCAAATTTTTTTGCACAGATGGAAATGATATCAATTTTCAATATATTTCGAGAAACTTTTTTTTACCAACTACATACCATATGGTAATTTCTTCATTTTTAAGTCGTTTTTGAAAACATTTGCTTAGAAGGAACGAGTTCATCATGATCTATTGGATCTATAAATTTCTGAGTGAAAAAAATACTAGATCAAAAATTACCATACTTTACCACTATGGTATGTGGGTGGTAATTTGTGAAAACAATGATAAAGTCGTAAATGACAGTTAGTATACTCCTATTATCATGTATCAATATCCCAAACCAACTAGACCACAACAATGCGTATGTATTTTTTGAATTAAAGAGAGAAAATACTAAAATATCTCAAAATCATAGGACTATCCACCGCAACAATCAATCATCGAATTAATTAATAACTGTAATTATTTACAAAGTGAACCATCATGATATACCTAGTTTTATGAATCAACTAAGTGAGTTCCTCTAATCACACAATTCTTCAACAAGAATCAAATAGTACATTTTCAGTTTATGTATGTCTTACAACTTTTCATTTATTAGGTTACATGACTTTGGGGCCTGAGGCAGAGATGGATGATGGCCTTGGGGCAGACCCATACTTGTTGGGCGTTGAGGCCATTTTGAACAGGAAAGTGATCTCATCCGCTGCAAGAACTCAGCAATCTATGACAGCTGGACTTGGTGGGGAACAGAGCACGTTAGGTGGCCAGAACCAAGGTCAAAATGGACTTCCTGCTCGAGGTGGTAGTGTTGGACAGCAAACTCGCCGCTACACAACGGCTGAAAAAGGGAAGGCGAAAGTGGTAGATGATGGTAAGAAGAGTGTTGGGGCAGTCCGCCCAAGAGCAAGAGGTTATGGAATTTCTATACAGAAGTCGATGTCCCAGTCTCCTCAACCTGCAAAGGCTGCCCCTGCTGTCCGTGACTCGATTTCCTCGAAAGCTAGACCAGGACGTGCTGGCAAATCACATCCGCTGCGCCCTAAACTGGTTTCAAGATGGGGATTGGTGAGCTGGAAGGGATGATGTTTGACAGGAAGAGGTCCAACCAGGTGGCTGGGGCTCCATGCTAGTTTATGAAGTCGAGTTTTGACCTAAAATTTTATTAAGCACGTCAAGGTTGAACTAGCTTTCCAGACCTGAATGTCACATAATCGAGCTAGAACTCGTATCATTTCTAGGAGCCAAGCTCAAGCTAGGTCTAGGTCGACCACCCTGACTCGACTCAATTGCAACCCTAGCTCCATGCTTGATGAAAAGTATATACGATTCATTCACTATCATTCGGCTATAAAATCGAGTCGAAATCAAAAAGACATTAATTAGATTCAAGACCAAAACCAGTATCAAAAGAACTCATCAGTAGGGGCAGGATTGTTTCAGAGAACTAGGATCAAAGTTTGATAACAAAGAAAGCTTTTCTCTAGGCACTCTTAGAAAAGCCAACACTTAAATCACAGAGAGCTCCCCGCTTGAAGTACAATGACATAGTCGGCACAACGAGCATAAAGTGCTATAAGTATACAACATCAAAAGAAAATTTGAGCAGTTGGGCCAACAAATTCCAAAAGAAAACTCACCTACGCAAAACGAATACCTATATATTTACATGGAGGCAGGCAACCGATGAAAGAAAGCAGCAGCAGAGGGCAAAATCGATCAATCAGTTTCATGGTCAGGAGCAAGAGAGTACCAAGCAGGAAGCCTCCCTTTAGTTCTAAGCAACCTAGTATAGGATGAATCAGGCATCCTAGCCCTCTCGTCCTCTTCCATCTCCTCTCGAGATTTCGGCAGGCCGTCGGGGATCGGGCATAGCCTCTCCCTCTGCTTCTTAACACTTTGCTGAGCATCACCAGAGGCAGGGGAGCCACTACTGCCTTCCTTTTTGCTGTGCATCGATGAGATACCGTGTAGGCAACCAATCAAGGATTTCACTCCACCAGCTTGGAGAATCAGCTTCTCGACTTCCTCCTTTGAAACCCTATCCTGAAAAGTGCAAGAATTTGGCTGTTAGTTCAGTGAATCCATAATTCCCTTATTCTCTCCTACAAAACCAGATTTGAAGCAATCAACCTATCCTAACCCTGTTTTCGTTTTCCCCCGCAGAGCGACTCTGCTTCTAATTAGTAAGTTCCAAGCAAAAGGGAATTCTAGTCCAATTTCAAATCTCCCAAAAACCCGTTTGGACTCAGATTCACTGCTGTAATTGAAATGGATTTTGAAAGGAAGAAAGAAAACACAAATACACAAATGTGGAAATGGGGATTACTTGGAGGTCCTTCAGCTCGAAATAAGCTCTCCAGCCGCTATAAGCATCGTCGCCTTCAAGATTTACACAGTAATCTGCGAAACCATGATATTATTAGTAAATCATTATGAAAAAAAAAAGCATCACCAGATCTGAAAATCCATTCTTGCCGACAGAAAAGGGAGCAAGAAATTATCATTTACTGGGAAGAAAATTATAGTTTACCAGCAAGTTCGTTGAGAGACTTTTGGATGAGAGGCGGGTCCTTGAGAGCCCGATCCAACTTGCTCCGGCTAAACGGCTCCAGCTTGGGGACGTTTCTTGAAGCTATAGCAGCAGAAGGAGAAGAAGAAGAACAACAAGTGACGGTGGGGGACAGGGCCCTTATTGATGTATGGGGAAGTTCCGCTTTTGCTTGGGAAAGCAAAGGAAGGGGACAATACGAACGAAGAATAGCCGACTTCATCGCCATGGCCGTCGTCATTCTCAGAGCTTCACTATGACAGTGCAAAAGAAGGAAGGGGGAATATGGATGAAGGAGAAGAATGAGAGTGGGTTTGGGATTGGGGTCGTGAAATAATAATATAGAACAATTGCTGGTGGTGGGTGGGACCCAGCTCCCCCAACCCCCGGTGTCCCCAAACAGAGAACTGGATAAGGATGAGATATTTAGAATATGTTTTTATTTATTCGGGATATTTGTTAATACTGCTGTAATTTGGGATATTGGTACTTTAATTAATGTCGTTATTATAGGGATGGATAACCGTGTAATTTGGTAGTGAAGATAGGGACAAACGAAACGGGATAGAGCTCATGACGACGGGGTTCGAGATTTGATTGATCATTTGGACCTAGAACCATCGGCGGACGTTAGAGCCGTTGTTTTGCCTTTTATTCAATTATTTGCTCGCCGCGGTTTCTATATATCTGAAGCAGGGCGGACGCATAGGGCTTTAGTGGTGTATTTAAATTTTGAGAGAACGATTATTCAAACCACGATGATAATTTATATAAGGACAAAATATTATAATTGATAGTTAGGGACTTCTGAAATTTAAAAAAATGATTATCCTACTGTCATTTTTTAAAGTTGTGTATGAGAATATTAGTGGTAGGTTGGGTAATTCAAACCTTGAACACTATTATTAGTAATAAACTTAGTTTCCATTCAGCTACAAATCATTTGTTGTTCGATTTTAAACATTGTATCATAGTAAAATCATGTCATTCTCTATCTCTAATTGTTTTTAAAACCTAGCAATTAAACTAATTTCAACCTACCCTTAATTTGTATTGATTTTATGGTTCTACGACAAGTGTCGAATGAGTCTTTCGGCTTTGGGTTATATCAAGAACAAGCTTACAAATCGAATATGCGATAAGTTCATGAATGATTGTCTAGTAGGGTATATAATGTTGTCATAACCGAACCGGAGCATGACCCGGTAATGCGAACGGCTTGCATTTAGTGGTCCAACCGGCATTAGACCGTTTAAAAATCGTTAGAGAACCGGTACCTAATAAATGTTATCAGTATAAATAGTGGACATTTCTTAATCAGAGCTCGTCCCTTTCCTGCAAAATTGTGAAATGGAAATAAGGATTCAGTTTGAGAGCCCGGCGTTTTTGGTTTATTTCAATTTTCTGCAAATTTTTTAATTAAATTTAACGGTTGAATGGCAAAAATCGGACGAGTGGCTCAATCGGCTCGAGCGGTTAACCGCCCTGGCTGCTCGTCAACCTCTACATAAAACCGAAGCAGCTTTTAGACTGTTTTGAACCGGTTTTGTGACTGGGTGGCGGTTTTACCGATTGGGCCAAGCGGCTCGGCTCGGCTTTAATAATACTTATATAAGGAAAAAAATTAACACTATAAACAACAAGTGTATTCTACAATTATTTCCGAATTTGAAAACACATAATGGACTTTTTTAACCTGTATGAGTAAGATATTTTCTTATTTACAATTTTATTTTTACTTTTATTACTTATTTTACTTTTATTTTTATAAAAAAAATAAAAGAAGATACTCTTATTAAAAATTTCTGTATCCGCCACTGATCTGAGGAAGTGTGGCGTCGCGTGTATGTTAATTGTCCTAAGTTTGAAGACTACTTTGAAACTTTGCCTTCCTTCCTCTATTGTTTCGGCTAGGTTTATTTTCCTACCTCTTGTGTATATAGTTGAATAAAAGCTGCAACCTATAAGCAAGTGAGAAAACAATTAATAAGAGTTAAGCAAAAAATCTAACTCTTTCTTGATTAGTCTCATTCACACAGAACGAAGAAACTATGTAAATCTCACAGTCTTTTACTTTTTGCAAAGTTCGTTTTCTACATGATATTAAAGCAAACTGCAATCTTGGGTCGTTTGGATGTGATAATGTTTTGTGGGAATTGGGCTAAATTTCCATAGTTTGTCGTAATTGGATTAAAATACTGTGTTTGGATGGGCTAAATAAACATGGTAATTTGGGCCTTGTAATTTGCCCACATTACCACAGACGTGGAAAAGGGAAAACCGGCACCCTCCCCCCTAAATTTCACATTCCCGCGTTTTAGGTTATTTTCCTTCCTATTTTGTCCCTAATAATTTATTGTAAACCCGAAATTGCCCTAGTTGTGTCTTCGTCATATGTGGTAGGTGAGAACCAGATCTACTTTACAGATTCCTTTCTCTTCACCTGTGGTTTTTGCTTCTCTCTCCGATTGAAATCGAGAAATCAAGGCGCAGGTAATCGGAGTGGTGGGTGATCTTGGCTGTGACTTTTCTGGATTCACGGCGCCAGCGACCAACCGAAGAAGAAGGAGTGGTTGCCTGTATCAACCAGGTAACTGGTCTTCTCTTTGGGAGCATAGGTTTCTACTGATTATGGGTAAGAAGTTGGGGTATTTAGCACTTAATATTGGGGGTTTTGTGTTCGTGCTATGTCCATGAAATTTTTTGTGGGATTATTGATTACTACTTATGCAAAGTATTTCTCATGCATCCTAGCGTGACACACTCTTCAACAGGTTTAAGAACAAAAAGCATAAGAAGTTCAGAATGTCAAGACTGTCAATTATGAACCCAACGCATAGGCGACAGGTTGTTGCAGCAGTTGGATCGTTCATCAACCTTCTAATAATTTACGTCAGCCTAGGAATTAAACTATCTCAACTGCTTCAAGCAAGGAGCTTAAATCGTAGACTTGCTAGGCAGCCAATGGATAGCTACACTGTGAGGCATTACGATAGGCAAAGACACCTTGATCGGCGGATAAGAAGGAATGATACTATATGCTTTTCTCGGGTTAGAATGGATGTGGCTTTATTCAATAGGTTTTATGAGCTTCTTGTTAATGAGGGTCTGTTGAGAAGAACTAGGGACGTAGATGTAGATGAGATGGTATATACTTTTTTGTGTACCATTTCACACAACGAGAAAAACAGAACATTGGCCATCAACTTGCTTCGATTTGGAGAGACCATATCAAGATCAATCCATCGGGTTTTGAGGGCTATCATTAGACTCAACAACCTCTTGATGAAGAAGCCCGTTCCCATTGATGAAAACTGCAACGACTCTAGATGGAAACACTTTAAGGTGAAAAATTATAAAGTTTTTAATTGTTAAGCTTTTCCAGTTGAGTGCTTCAGGTTATAGATGTTTACAACTAATTCATATGAGTTAATTTTTTTTTTATGTTTTGGTAGAATTGTCTCGGTGCTTTAGATGGAACTCATGTGAATGTACGCCCTAGGAGGGAGCATCAAGCTAGCTTCCGGGATAGAAACAGACATCTTTCAATGAATGTGCTTGCTGTTTGCACTCCTAATTTGGAGTTCATTTATTGCTTGTCGGGTTGGGAGGGTTCAGCCCATGATGCTAGGGTTCTTCGAGATGCTCTTACTAGGCCTAATGGCCTTAGGGTGGCTGAAGGTAAAATCCAGTAATATTTCAAAATCACAAGATATTTGGCTAAAGGTAAAATTAAACTCATAAGTGTTGTCCATTTGATGAAGGGTGTTACTATCTGTGTGATGGTGGATACGGGAATAGTACTGGGTTCTAACCTCCCTATCGTGGGCAGAAGTACCATCTTAAAGAGTGGGGACCAAGAAGGCCATTTATAGCTGAAGAGTATTATAACATGAAGCATGCATCGGCTAGGAATGTTGTAGAACACATTTTTGGAATCTTAAAAATGCGTTGGGCTATTCTTAGAGACTCTAGCTGGTTCTCTCCTAGTGATATGGCAAGAATTATAGTTGTTTGCACCATAATTCACAACTTCATCAAGAAGGAGGGAGGAGCTGACAGATTTGAGAGGGAGTACCAAGATGTTGAGCAAGTTGACGAAGAACAATATGATCCGGATGAGGTTGAGACCATTGCCGCCGATGATGTTCATTCTTGCCCTCCTTGGACTCATTTCAGAGATGATTTAGCGAAGGAAATGTGGGAAAAGTGGCCTTACAAGCCAGTTGTTCCAACAGTACCATCTGTTTGATTCTGCTTTGTGAAAAAAATGACCAGCAGAAGCATGTAGTAGTTGCTTGCTATCTTTATATGTTTTTGCTGTTAAGTGGATGTATGAACATGTATGCTTCATAGTGAAGCTGTTACCAAAGCAACCTGTATGCTTTGTAGACATCTAAACAACCTGTATGTATGGATCCAAATGATGTGCTTTGTAGACATCTAAACAACAGGTAGCTACTAATAATGTTGTTTATGTGCTGCTCTTGCTTATGTGTTGCTGCTGTTTTTGATGTGTTGTTGCTGTTTTGTTGATGTGATGTTGCGGTTGCTGCTCTGTTGCTACTACTACTGCTACTCTGCTGCTGCTACTACTGCTGCTCTGCTGCTGCTGCTACTGCTGGATACTACTGTTGCTGTTGCGGTGCTGCTGCTTCTGTTATGCTAATGTGCTGTGTTGATTTATTGTGTTTTTTTTGTTGTTGTTGAAAGGTTGTGAGAGTTCAGTTAGGAGAGTTGTAGTTTGCTAGTAGTGATAGCTAAATTGTAGGAGTTAGACAGCCGAGTTTGAGAGCAATTGTTGTGCTTTGTACTTCAACTCTCTCATTAATTCAATAAAAACTTGAGTGTTTCTTTATAATTTGAGAATTGAATATGAGAATTGGTGATTGGAGATTTCCCTATAAGCTTATAGGTGTGTGTTAGTTATAGGCAAATTTTTAATAATCATGATAATGGCAAACTCAAATAAAAAGGGGTAAATTTGTATTTTAACCGAATACCACACCATCAATTTCCACATTCTTTAACCCATCCCAAACATGGAATTTTTGACAATTTCCACGTGACAATTACTAGGTTTTCTATAACTTAGAAATTAAGGCCAATTCCCACACTTCAGATTTTCACATCCAAACGTGGAATTTTGTATTTTAACCTAATATAATCCAGCGTTTGCGTTGCGTCCAAGTTTCCGCTGAAATTATCGTATATTGTTTCCTACAACAGTCATGAGTGATGGGATTGTGGTTGCGCAAGGAGTGAACAACAATGGAGCAATATATATTGCCAAGCTCACCATTATATCTTACCTCCACCGATCACCCTAATTTGATGTTCGCCAGTGATCTTCTTACCAAATCCAATTATGGGGATTGGTTGGCGGACACGTCAAATGTTTTGCTATCAAAGAACAAGATGTGATTTGTCATCGGCAATGTCCCAAAACCTCAATCAGGTATGCGGCTCGATGCATGAATCCGATGCAATGTTATGGTTGTTGGATGGATTAGGGTTGCAGTGAATTGTGAAATCAGGAGCAGTGGAGCACCATCGGTATTGATTTCACCGCCAAGTAGATCTGAGAGGAACTCAAAGGTTCATCACCGACAATCTTGAGAAGCGATATCAACTTCGGTGATAGATAGCTAATCTCCACCAAGAGACATCCTCATTTTCATCCTTCTACGTGAAGGTTAAGCACCTTTGGGACGATCTTCAAAGTCTGGATCCGCTCGCCAGCTGCCCTTACGGTAAGTGCAAGTGTGATGTCGAGAGACGAGAAGCGCAGGCATGCCTCGCATGCATGAAGCCAACGATTGCTTGACTTCTTCGTCTGTCTTGATGATGGCTTTGCGATGGTACATGTGTTTCCTCGGGAAAACCAAATACCACCGCCGGTGCCGAATTCGTTTCCGGCGATGTTGATTTGATGTTTCGCGATGGAAACTCTTGCGGTGCCGTTTGATCGAATGCACCGCTGATTGTTGCAATTAAGACGACCGTCAAATATCTACCGAGCGGTGTTGATTTGACCGGTGCAACTGACTTCTGAAAACGATGACGATCGTCAAATATCCACCGCCGTGCGATGTTGATTTGATCGATGCACCTCTGAATGGTGAAATCAACGTGACCGTCAAATATCCACAGATGGGCGATGTTGATCTGATCGATGCACCTCTGACTTCTGACCAACGCGACCGTCACTACGGTTCGCACCTCTCCAAACTACGTTCGAACGAGGGTGTTTGAGTTTTGAGGAATCTACGCTATCGCTACTCCTATGGAGATTCCTGTGGAGAGCTTCGCGACTACGACTAAGACTACAACTATGGAGATCCTTCCTGGAAGGAGAGCTACAACTTAGCATGTAGTATGATTTTCATATGTTTTTATTTATTGAATTATTTCATGAAAATAATATTTTATGTTTGAAAATTACTACATTGTTGCTAGACATGTCAACTAATCTGAGAATAATTTGGGAAGTCCGTACACAATACATTGTCCAACTAACTATTAGCTACAACTTAGCATCACGTACATATATATTTCAAATCAACCAAAAAATATGATGGTATAAACTATAATGGAGACTTCTTTGATATACTTACCCAAATACAAATATATTATATACCTTAGAGTAAAAGTAGAATTTTAATTATTAAATTAAAATATTTGATCACAATTATTTCCTCCATCTAATGATATAACATAGAATTGCAACGAATTTATGCATTTTTTAATAAGTTTATACTTATGTAATCAATAGGTGATCATTTTTACTTAAGAAGTTTATTGCGGTGTTTCTAAATTTTCAAAACAAGCAAGATTCTAAAGTTTTTTTTTTTTTTTTTACAAATCAGTTTCATTACTGAAAGGTAATCAAAGTTGGTACAAGCCCAATGGAAAGACAAGCAAATTACAAAGAGAATTATGGAAGCCCACCCCGCAAGCCCAACCAAAGTGAGACAGAACTTACAAAAGCCCAACGACCCCAAGGGCTCGGCCAACAGAAGGCTAGCACCCAAAAAACCCTAACATAAAATGCAACCAAACTTTGGGAACTGCACCGCCGCTGGAGTCTCCACAAACAACCGACCAGCTGCTGAAGATGGCTGTACGGATCACCAAGAGCCCTCCATCCCAGATGGAAGATGGGAACAGGTAGCATATGCGTAAGAGAGCAAACTTCAAAGCAACAGATGGAAGATGCAGGAACCAGAGAAAGGAGTCTTCGTCTTCAAGATCCACAAACCGCGCCCGAACCGATTCACGAAGGAAGGTCACTGCATCTCCGGATCATCGCGTTGTATTGGATGAAACAAGGAGGTAGACGAAAGGGATGAAGACAAGAGAAAACAGGCAAAGATCATGAAACCCCGCCCCCCTTTGACACCAAGGCAAAAACACTCTAGATCTGTGAACAAATCAGAGAATGAAGGCAACCATCTCAATAACGAGAGATTGATGGAAATATTCCACAGAGGGAATTGGAGAAAGCAAAAGCTAGAAGATAAAAGGAAGTCATGCAAGAAAAATGAGAGAATGGGTTGCCGCCGGTCACCAGGAGGTGAGCCGGCAGCCCCCCTGCTGAAATTTCAAAAGAGACGGTAGAGAGAAGGCGGAGCGTTTTCAAAATAGAGAGAGAAGGTGAGGTCGAATGCAGTAGTTCCAAAAGATTCTAAAGTTGTCGTTTGAATTTGCCTTTTGATATTCAAGTGTGACAGTGGAAAATCTGAAGGTAAGCTCCATAAGACTCTTTTAGTCACAAGGACAACCAGAAAATATATTGAATATTCATATTTGATGAACCCGGTATTCCCCAATCGAATGTGATTCTTCATGACTTTTTCACCACCAAAACTTCGCAAAAACGTCTCAATTTCCCTTAATATAATTGGTCTAGTCAAGGTTTTTGTATTTTTGCATAGAAAATATGTGTAATATCAAGAACACGACATGGAATAGTATTTGGAAAAGTTTACTCTAGTTACGGAACGTTAGTAAGCTTGGTTACGTGGGACTTGAGATAATAAGTTCATTTATCGAAATGACTAAAAGGAAGAGTTCACATACAACTTTGTACTGATGTAAAGTTAATGTATCTTGGTTACTGAATTAAAAAAAAAAAACTCAAGGGTCAAATCGATATATCTCCCTAAAAAAATTACAATGCCATAATATTTCCTAAATGTGTTTGCTATGGTCAAGAATTGGAACAAATAATTTTTAGGGTTAATACCCTAATTCGGCCTGAAGTTTGGCGTAAGTGTTAGTTATGGCCCCAATTTTTCAATAAGACAGTTGTGGCCTACTTTTCAAATTAATGGATAGATTTGGCACTAATCTTTTTTTGACCGTTAATATTGGCAGTCAAACAATTATTCCGTTAGTGACTCAGAAAAAATTGCTGATGTGGCTTATACATGGTGCTACATCATTAAATAATATAATTTTAATTTTGTCATTTAATTAAAAAAAAGAAAATTAACAAATTAAAAAAATTCCCTCCAATTATCCCATCATCCCAAAATCCCAAATCCAAACCCTAATCTTAATCAACCATCATCGTCAAAATCAATCCTCCGACCTCCGTTGCTGAAGCCCTCTCTGCCCTCCAATCCTCCGGCCACCACGACATCGATACCGATGTCCTTCCCCTTTTACCACTCCGCCCTGCCCTTCCTGAAATGGCGTCCCCCACAGACCCCTTCCTTACAAAAACTTCTCACCTGCTAATATGAACCACATTCCAGATCACGCCTCAGCATCCTCCGACTGCGAAACTTCGAGCGTGGGAGAGAGGTCAAGGAGGAGGACGAGATCGGAGGAGACCGGCCGATAGTCTCTGGATCCAGCACGGCGACGCGTGGCGGAGTTGGAGGGGTCGAACGGGCCACAGAGGGAACTCAGACACGGCTGCGGAGGATGGCGGTGGGACTCGAAGTCAAGGGTGTTGGTGGCAGGGACAGGGATGACGCAAGCAACGTCTTTTTTGTTGTTGTTTCACTTGTTTGGGCTAGAACAGAGGAGGGGAATTGAGCCGCGAGCGTTTTGGTAGAACCCGATGATGTAGACGGAGCTAAGGAAACGACGGCGAGGGCTTTGATAAGAGGTTTGGTCGTTTGATTTTGGAGGCAGTGATTAGGTGATGGTTATTAGAGAACGGCGGCGCCATGGAAGAGGTTGGAAGAAGAAAAGAGGAACTTTGGCAGGGGAACGAGATGTTTTTAGATTAGGGTTTGAGTTTTGGGCTTTTGGGAATTTTGGAATAATAAAAGGGAACTTTTAATTATTTTTTATTTTAATTTGAATTAAAAAATTAAATTATATTATTTAGTGATTTGGCACACGCATAAGCCACATCAGCCGTGTTTTGCTGAGTCACTAACGGAATAAGTGTTTGACCGTCAATATAGACGGTCAATGAAAATTTCGGGCCAAATCTGTCCATTAATTTGAAAAGTGGGTCATAACTGTCTTATTGAAAAATTCTGGTCAAAATTGACACTTACACCAAACTTCGGGCCAAACTAGGGTATTAACCCTAATTTTTATGATTAAAGTTCTAGTGTTATGACATAGTGTTCCAAAAATCCATGTAATAAAATATTAATATGGATTATTCAATGAAAAAATATATTAATATTGATTATCTCAATATTATAACTTTAATGTGTATTGGTGACTGAATTAGAAAAGCTCAAAGGTCAAACCGATATAACTCCCTAATAAAATTACAATGCCATAATATTTCATAAATGTGTTTGCTATGGTCAAGAAATGGAACAAATAATTTTTCTGATAAAAAATCTTAATGTTATGACATAGTTTTTAAAAAATCTACGTAATACAATATTTAAATATTGATTATCTCAATATTATAACGTTAATGTATCTTGGTGACTGAATTAAAAAAAGCTAAAGGTCAAATCGGTTTACCTCCCTAATAAAATTACAATGCCATAATATTTCATAAATGTGTTTGATATGGTCAAGAAATGGAACAAATATTTTTTCGGATAAAAACTCTTAGTGTTATGACATAGCTTTTCAAAAATCTATGTAATACAATATTAATATTAATTGTCTCAAAATAAAACTATGAATTAATTTTGTAATAGTTGAAGTATAACAATATAGAAAATCTTTCTTTTATAAATAAAATCAACGATAATTCCCCCAACCTATTTTTTGTCATAACAAAATCAACAATAAATATACACAAAATGACCCTGTTCGCTGAAATAACCTGCAGTAGTCGGTAAAAAATGGGCGGTGCCCGTACTTGTCGGAATAGTAAAATTTCCCCATCATTAATCACATCAATATTAGTATGATACCCGTGTTGCTCGATTGGTTGATAACCATTTGACAAATTCTGGTATGACAAAAAATTAGAGACACAAACAATCCCCGATTTAGCCGGTACGTATTGGTTTTGTTTACCCATAAAAAAATAATTAACAGGTTTCAAGAAACAAAAGCTCACATAATTTTCCGGGAGGGATTTGGCGCCCAAAAATAGCCAAACCAATTCCTACAATTCATTTCAATTCCACCGGCTGAGAAATCAAACAGACCCATTCTCCCCTCTCTTATAACTGGCTATCATCCTCTCCCCCATCAATGCCACCACATTGCTATAATAAGCAAGCCTTGGGCAGTCCAAGGTTTTCAGATATGGCTCCGTTTATCATGAATTTCTTGGGCTGCCTTCTCTTCCTCCTCCTCCTCATTGCCTCATTCTCCTCCACCTTCTCCAATGCCCTGACGGACTCGGAGGTCGCCTACATCGCCCACCGTCAGCTCCTCACGTTGGAAGGGAGCGGGAAGGATCAGAGCAACAACAACAATGTGGCTGTGGACCCCAACCTCAAGTTCGAGAACTCGAGGATCAAGAACGCCTACACCGCCCTCCAGGCCTGGAAGAAGGGCATCTACTCCGACCCTTTCAACGTCACCGCCACCTGGGTGGGGACCGATGTCTGCAAGTACACAGGCATATATTGTGCCCCGGCGTTGGACGACCCCAAACTGAACGTCGTAGCCGGCATCGATCTCAACCACCAGGATATCGCCGGTTACCTGCCCCAGGAGCTCGGCCTGCTCACCGACCTGGCGCTGTTCCACCTCAACTCCAACAGGTTCTGCGGCATCATCCCGATGTCGTTCTGCAACATGTCCATCATGTTCGAGTTCGACGTCAGCAACAACCGCCTTGTCGGGCCCTTCCCGCGAGCCCTGCTGTGCTGGAAGGAGATCAAGTTCGTCGACATCCGGTTCAACAACTTCGAGGGCTGTGTCCCGCCGGAGATCTTCAGCAGGCCGCTCGACGCCCTCTTCTTGAACAACAACCGCTTCTCCTGCTCCATCCCGCCGTCCCTCGGAAACTCCACCGTCAGCGTCGTCACCATGGCCTACAACAACTTCACCGGCTGCATCCCTCACACCATCGGGATGATGCCCAACGTCCAGGAGATCATGCTGGCCGGGAACAGCCTCGGCGGCTGCTTCCCCTCGGAGATCGGCAACTTGAGGAACGTGACGGTGCTTGACGTAAGCGGCAGCGGGTTCGTGGGGTCCATCCCACCCAGCTTTGCCGGGCTGAAGAGCGTCGAGATGCTGGACATTTCGTGCAACAGGATGACGGGTTCGATCCCCGACGAGATTTGCAAGCTCCCGGCGCTGAAGAATTTCACATTCGCTTCCAATTTCTTCAACGGAGCCGCCCCGGCTTGTAAATCGAGCAAGGACGTCGTGATCGACGACGCCAACAATTGCTTGGCGGGTCGCCCGCTACAGAAGCCGCCTAAGGATTGCGATCCCAAGGTGGTGAAGCCGGTGGATTGTAGCAAGGACGTTTGCAGCGCCGGTGGAGGACGAGCACCGCCCAACACTCAGCCCCCGACGTCTGAAGATCCGCATATGCCGGCAAGCGGCGGAATGACCCACCCTCCACCGCCGGCACCTATTCATTCCCCTCCACCGCCGGTTCACTCTCCACCACCACCCGCGCCTGTCCAATCTCCGCCACCGCCTGCGCCGGTTCACTCCCCGCCTCCGCCTGTACATTCTCCACCACCACCTGCGCCGGTTCACTCCCCGCCACCGCCTGTCCATTCTCCCCCACCACCTGCGCCAGTTTACTCCCCACCTCCGCCTGTCCATTCCCCGCCGCCACCTCCAGTTCAATCTCCACCACCGCCAGTACGCTCCCCACCTCCACCGGTAGTCCAAAAGCCACCACCCAAGCCAGAGCAACCAGACGTCGTCCTTCCGCCGAACCTGGGTTACCAGTACTCCTCTCCTCCACCGCCGTTGTTCCCAGGCTATTAATTTTTTTTTTTAATAGAACTAAAACACTACAGATTGTTCTGACAACATCATATGTAAAATTCCTTTCCTTCTAAATTTGGAGATGGAATTTGTTTCCCAAATTGGCAATACAGTGGAGGAAAAGTTACCAATCGTTGTGTAAAATTGTTGCCATATTTATCTTTATCATTTGCCATCTTCTAAGCAATGGAAGTGATCTAAGAGCTTATGAAACCCTCGTCAAAATTCAGGGCTATATAACAATGGCAAGTATAGCACAATGTTAGGCTTGCAATATAGAGGATGTGTCGTATTCCCTAGAGATCGTCGATACCCTAGTCTACTCGTGTTAAATCATACTACTTTCTAATCAGCAATTGGTTATTTTTAATCGTATAGCGGCTTCCGGCGAGCGTTAGCTTGCAATTGACCACTACAAGAAAAAGTGGTTTTTGCAACCAAAATCTTTACGACCAAAATAAAATTGGTTGCAAAAAGACTGGTATTTACAAACCAAATAGATTTTGGAAGCTAAAATGTTAATAAATTGGTTGCCTATTATAATCAAAGTATTGATAACCAAATGAAAGTTGAGGAGACCAAATAATTTGGTTGCAAAATGATTTATACTTTTTCCAACCAAATAATATTGGTAGCAAAATAATTTTTAGTTTTTCCAACCAATAAATTTGATTACGTAATGAATTTTAATTTTTTCCAACCAAATGTATTGGTTATGAATTTAGCTTTTTTTTTAAAAAAAACTTTACATAACCAAATATTTTGGTTGCAATCAATTAAAATTTTGATAACGTATTTTTGCTTTTTCCAAACCAGTTTTTTTATTATAAAATTGATAGCCATTTTAACCAAGTAGCCATGAAATACTTCTAGCAGGGCCGTTTTGTTTAGTACTGTTACTAGCTCTATCAAAATAATGGGGTGACGTTGTCTTTTATGTTTATCCTATGGGAGATTTTGCTTCCCAACTTCATACATCCTAATTCGAAGACAATCAATCCATCGACTTATTATATATATATTTTGATTAAAGGGAGGCTATCAATCAGCCGCGGTAGCACAAATACATAACCAGAGGCTTAGCAACCAAAACAGGAGGCACCCAAGCAAAAAAACAGTAGACCTGCTACAGAATCTTAAGCCAAGTTTAGGAGAGCCATCAGGTCAGGCTTTAGCGATCCTGAACCACTTGCCTTGGGAAGCTGATTCCCAACACGTCTTCGCGTAACAACCCATCTAACTGTGCTGGTGGATCATCCAGTTCATACGTACCGAAAGGATAGACGAGACTGTGCTTCAAGAGCCAGTCCGCGACTCTATTCCCTTCTCTGTACGTATGAACCAGCTGAACCACCCAGCCTTGCGCCAAAAGACGACGAATCTGGCCGAGGATTGTGGAATAAGGATGTGCCGAATCAGATCGCCGGTTGATCAGATCAAGAGCCAGCTTGGAGTCGGACTCAAGGATGATGAATTGAGCCCCTTTCCGCCGTGCCAGCTGTAGCCCCTGTAAGATTCCCCACAACTCCGCGAGCAGCGCAGAGCCCGAGCCTAGCTTACTGCAAAAGCCTCCTACCCAGTCTCCATAGCAGTTACGAATAACTCCTCCTGCTGTCGCTATATCCGGATTACTTTGAGCCGCTCCATCTGTGTTGATTTTCCACCACCCTGATATTGGTGCCGCCCAGCTGATTAAGACTTCCTCTCTAGTTGGTTTAGAAGTACTCAGAGATCTTGCAGCAGCTGCCTCCCACGCTTTACTCCATTCGTTTGCCTTGGAAGTGACATAGTTGGCAGCGTTGTTGGTGAGAGTTTAATGCCGTTGAAGACCTTGTCGTTTCGGCTCTTCCAAATGTACCAAAGTACTAAACTGAAATAGGACGCCCAGCAGCCCCTCCAATTACCAAGACTATCATCCTGCAAGTTAGAGATCAGCCAGCTCTCATAACTCGTGCTGAAAAAATCATCCTGAAGTGCACTTGGAACGACCCTTTTCCATGTCAGCTTTACCGAGTCACAATCACGAAGACAGTGAAGACTCGTTTCCGCAATTCCCTCGCAATCAGGGCAAGCATCATCATTTGCAAGATGCCTATGTTTTCGAACTGCATTGGTGGTCAGCTTCCCCTTCACCGCCATCCAGATAAACATCCTCACCCGCTCGGGCAGCTGAAGCTTCCAGATTCTCCGCCAAATAGGTTGATGATCTCCTTCTTGAGGGATTAACGTCTTGTAAGCTGAACTGGCAGAGAATTTGCCGTTCGACGTCAAACTCCAGATAGGCCGGTCTTCCTCAGTTGCTAACGGGTCAACCATGACTGCCCGGATCTTGTTGACAATGCTCGTAGGAAGCAGGTCTTCAAATTCCTCCAGTCTCCATCCCTGATCGCCATCCCACATGTCCGCCACTCTCCATCCAAGCTTGTCTGCTGCAATTTCCTCATTTGCTAGATCAGCGAGAGGAACCTGCAAAACCCAAGGATCCGTCCAAAACTTAGCAACTCTACTATTTGATATATTAAAAGCATATCCCTTTTTAACGACATCCAAGACGGAGGTGAAACTCCTCCAAGCAAAAGAGCCTCCCTTTGTTCTGGAGAGTGTTGCCAGTCCATCTCTGTTGCAAGCATACTTGTTCTTCAGGACCTTCGTCCAGAGGGTGTGATCATTCGATGCTAGTCTCCAGCTTCCCTTGGCTAACATAGCTTGATTAGTTGCTCTTGCAGGTCTGATCCCTACTCCTCCCTGGCTTCTAGGAAGGGTTAGCTGGTCCCAAGAAATCGGGTGGAACTTAGCCTTGCCCTCCTCTTCTCCCCAAACAAACTGTCTGTTAATCTTGTCAAGAGAGTTGCAAACAGACACTGGTAGTGACTCTGAGAACATGGGATAAACAGCCATGGAAGTTGAGATAGATCTCACCAAAGTCACCCTGGCTGCTAGGGAAAGATGGCTAGATTTCCACAACGCCAGCTTCTTTTGGATCTTCAAGCATATCTCCTTGTAACGGGCTTTTGTGATGCGTCCATTAATAGCCTTAATCCCCAAATATTTTCCTAAGTCACTCGTCAGGGGGATACCGGCTTTGTCGCTGAGAAGTTGTGCCTTCTGTCGGCTAACATTTGAAGAGACTATCATGGCTGATTTTGACAAGTTCACCTTCTGCCCCGAACTCAAGCAAAAGTCATCAAGGCACCTCCTGATGGTGTCAATTTGTCTGCTCTCCGCCTCCGCAAATAGTATGAGATCATCTGCGAAAAACAAATGGGAGAGTTTAGGTCCGTCAGGGGAAAGAGAGAGGGGTTTCCATCGCTTCTCCTCCACAGCTTGCTCAATGTAATGAGCTAACCGTTCCATACAAAGAACAAAAAGGTAAGGGGATAAAGGGTCTCCCTGACGAACTCCCCTCGTAGGGGTGATGGGCTCCGTTAATTGCCCATTCCAGTTGATCCTCATGATGTTATTTTCTACACAGTGCATAATTCTGCTCGTCCAGGTACTTGGTAGACCAATTTCACCCAAGGTGTCTCTGAGGAAATCCCATCTAAGCCTATCATAGGCTTTTTCAAGGTCGATCTTGATGACCAGACCACCCTTTTTCCCCTTCTTATTCCGAAGAGTGTGGAGAACTTCTTGAAGGATGATGATGTTATCCGTAGTTTGGCGTCCTGGAATAAAACCACTCTGCGTTGGAGCGATGAGTTTGCTCATCAGCGGCTTTAACCGGTTCGTGATGGCCTTTGTAATAGCTTTCAAACAGACGTTGTTGAGGCATATAGGCCGCAGCTGAGCCGATGTCTCTGGATGGTCAATCTTGGGAATGAGAACAATAGAAGATTCCAACATCGCTGATGGAAGGGAACCTGTATCAAAAAAAGCAGATGCCATATCTGTTAGATTCCTTCCAACTTTTCCCCACAACTTCTGAAAAAAGGCAGCTTGGAAGCCATCTGGCCCGGGGGCCGAGAAGGGCTTCATGCCAAAAACAGCTGTATGAATATCAGGAACAGTAAAAGGACGTAAAAGGGTTAAGAGCTCCTCCTGATTTAGCCGTGGAAAGCTGCATTTTGGCATTAAGTCCTGGTATGGTGTGTCCTCCTGCTTGTAGAGATGTCTAAAAAAATTCACCACCATGTCCAGACGTAAAAGGGTTATTATATATGATGAGCAACAATTCAATTGAGTTAATGAAGTTGCAACAAAATTACAACACAAAACAACTCGGCTACCCTAAAGTCCTAAAATTTCCTTATTCCTCTAACCCTTCCGTCGTCCGTCGCTCTTCCTTTTTCTCTTCCTCAATTATCTCCCCCGCGGAATCAACTACAGATTCATCACCGTCCTTTAGCTCCCGCCATCGGTTGAATCGATCGCCAAGAGAGTAGAGTCCCTCTTAGTGACGGTGTCGGCATTATCGAAGATTTCTGGATCTCCTCTCTCAATCGCGAAATCTCGTCGCTGCGGGATCCATCTTCCAAAAATCAAATCACGAAACCTTCTTCCATTCGAGCTTCAACATCCTCGGCCAAGGAATCGATCAACAGGATTGAAGCCTATGTTTCCAGTGCGTAAATCGATCTTAGGCAATCTCCGATTCTCCGTAAGCAAGGCCCACTCATATGAGAACTTAGGATTGTTCCAATTGCGAATGTCTCTTTCTCCTTTGTAGTGTGAGAATATAGATAACGGTTTGGTTTTGCTGTGTGCATGTTTGCAGTGTGCAATGTTAGGGGTTCAGATATCTAATCGTTTTGTTTAGGTCAGGAGAACAAGCTTCTTTCTTGAACCTACTGGTTAAGGCTTCCTTGTATGATAGATAGATGATATGCTTCTTTCTATGTTTGGTTATAGCATGAGAATTGATGTGTGTTCCATAAGTTTTGCTTTGTTATGGAAATATTTGAGTGTAGTTGAGCTCCTGTTTGAATGATTTGACTGATTATTTGTTCTAGGATAGAGACATTGCTGAGGCTCTCTTATGGATTGAGGCCAAGACAAGGAATATAGATATTGTCTGTGAGAACACAAAGTAGATTATCGAACATTTCCAGGTCAGAGGTGTGTATGTTTTATGCTCAGTCAACATTGTAATGGACTCGCATTTGTATGACCAAGTCCTGAGTTGTGTGTGTGTATGTTTTATGCTCAGTTGACACTGTATACGACATAATGCAATTTGTAGACTTGTCGATTTTATTTAAATTTCTTGATTTTGTCTTCAGATTGCATTCTCGGGAGTATATAAGTTTTCAGGGAAAAGTTCTTTTAAAGGTATGTATTTCAATTTGTGAATATATGTGTAACCGAACTAATTGATATATTTTGGATGTTGTCCTTACCTTAACTTTTCTTCTCTAGAGGTCTTCTTTGTTGTATGCTGGCCATGATTCCCTTACAATGCTCTCTTAACTTTTTCTTAATTAATCTTGTTGTTTTCTACTTTAGGTTGTGGTTACCTGGGATGGAACAGAGTGGAAGTCATAAGGATTGATGTAAGCACTTATCTCTACCCGGATGCTTTGACTTTTGTTTACATTATTTCCTTGGGACCGAAAAGAAACAAACAAATAGGCTTAGTCTCTAATGTTCGGTTCAACATATCCCCTGATGTTGGTGGATTTTGAGAGTGAAATGACAGTACGGGAGCGTTTTTAGAGTTGAAATATCTTGATGTGCAAGGATGCCACATTTCTATGTTACGGAATTCAGCTAGATATTGATTTTTCCCCTAAAATCAGCACCATAGACCTGTCAACCACTAGCTAGTGTTTAGAATTCTATTGCAACTAGTGGTCTGATTGTAATTATGATTGTAAGTAATTCAAGCTCTTTATCATTTTCAGTCTTAATAGCCTTTTCAATCAGCAACATAAAACTCGGGCTGATGCAGGGCTAGGGAACTTAGCTGAACCAGATCAAAGGAGACAAAGATGCTTCGATCAGAGCTCGTCATGATTGTAGTCCCGTTTCTAACTAACAAATCTTGATTGCAGTGGGCTGAGGTATTATATGCTGATGCTTTCTCTGGTTTCGAAGATGTTGGATTGGATGAAAAGGTATTCTTTTTCATTTCTGAGAAATATACCCTTTTCATATCACTGGGTTGTAAAATATAAATAAAAACAGAAGAATGTGGTCATTGTAACATTCCTACCACTAATGAAATATCCTTCGGTTTAGAGTTCTGCCCGGCAGTAGTGATCGACGCAGATCTGAAATCATCAAATAATCTCTTTGATATGTGTTTCTATTCTAAGTTAATAATCTAGCGCTCACTCTTTCTCTCACTCTCTCTCTATCTATCTATTGTCATGAAAAAGATTCTCTGGCAGTAGTCACCCTAAGTTAGTTGTTTATTACCTTATGTTAGTAAAATGGTATTGTTTTCATGAATGTGAATGCCATCCTGTTGGTGGAGCATAAACATGGGAGCCTACTGATTTTGGTTTATTTGTGTATTTGTTTTGTAGTAAAAGCCTGTTTTGTAGTAAAAGCAGTAGGATCTCAAGAGGAGCTTCATATGGAGGTGACTCTAACAGGTGAGTAATGGTGCCTCTACTTTCCCAATTCCCATCCTATCTTCAGGTTTACAGTGAACTTCCATTATATGCCTCCAGTTAAGTAATGATCGAACTTTTCTTATTTTGCAATGAATGGATTTGATTATGTTGTCTATGTGAAAATTTTGACCTTAAAAGTGATGTTGAATGGGCTGTAGCTACTGTGAAAGTGGGTGACCATGGAGTTCTTTTCCCAGATATCAAGACCACCAACAATTTTGTTGGACTAGTGAAAAGTGAACATGAGTATTACAGTACATATGGTTAGTTCAAAAGTTTCTTGATTTCATGTTAGACATTTTAACTACAACTGTTTTGTTTCATGTCTATAATGAAATACTTCTCTTCACACGTCTCCCTGAGTTTGCTGGAATGCTGAATTTATGTATTGCAGAAGGGGTCTTTGAGATGGACATGATACTGGAGTTTTTGGCTTACAATAAGTTACCTATAGTTACCAGACTGACAGAATTGAATTCTGCCTCTGTATACTCGAGTCCAATCAACCTTCAGGTAGCTGCTACCTTTTACTTTACAATTTTACTGAATCTTGTCTTTGTATTTCTATCTGTGTCCCTTTCTGTGTGAGAGTTCATCTTCGCCCCTGTAGATGCATGGGGTAGCTTGATGGTAAATCGGCGAAAGAGAGATGTGTTTCTAAAGGAGGAAGTGGAGCATGGATACGTGTGTCGAGAGGGCAGGACAAATCGAGATCGACAATTTGCACGGTGCTTTTTGGTTCCAGGTGTGTGTTGTCTCTCTTAGTCTATAGGTATTTGTTTTTCCTCGGATTGGTATGCTATTTACTTGGAGAGATCCATTGATTTGTGATTGTTGAAAATGATTTTGTTCCATGGAAGTCTGGAACCAACCTGAAGACTAATTGATTCGATTCCTTTTTTTTTTTTTTTACTTTGACATGCTAAAACACAACACCAAACTGCGACCAAGTGTAATCGCAGTCCGGAAATGCAGTAACAGGCAAGCTCTAATTGTCAACCCGGGGTCTAGATCTACTGCCTACTCCGTGTATATCTGTTATGTAGCAAACTAAGTTGAGTGATTGTTGATTTAAGTTAAGCAGTCAGAAAACAGGAAATGGTTCGGTTTTCTAAAGCAAAGGAAGAGTCACTCGGGAATGAGTCTCCCTAGCTCCTTAGTTAGGTCACAGTAGTAATTATTTTTAGTTGCTTAACTGCTGATTATACTGCGGAAGATCCGACAGTAGCTTGGAATCTTTTAAGCTGACCAAGCCCTCTCAGTCAAACTACCCGACAGACGACTAGTTTCACCGGAATAGAACGCTGAGGCAATAAACACAGAACTCCACTATTGGAATTAGATTCCAGTACAAAGCAGTGAATCGACTAACTCTCGTATAATCGATTCACTACTACCGATTGAAGAAGCTCTAACAACCTAATAAGATTCTATCTATCTCAGGTTGCAGCAGAAATCAATAAAAGATGATCAGACTTCAATTGACTCAATCAAAACACTTCAATCGATTATAATCAAGCAATATCACAATCCAAACGTAATTACAATCAAGATTCCTAACACATAGAACTAGGGTTCTTCATACCCAAGTAAGAGAAAGTTCTACTCCATAGAGAGAGAGAGGGAAACAGAATACAAAGCAGTCATACTCATAACAATGGGAAGAATCTGCTCTAGGATGTCAATCTTCACTCCTGTGATGATCTCCAAGCTTGATTGATGAAACCTGGCTCCAAAATCACTTCTAGGATGTGTTCTTCGCACTTTCTCTCTCTAGGGCTTTGTTTTTGCTCCAAAAAGTCGACTCCCTCTCCTTTGGCTCGAATCTGCCTCAAAAGGTCGACTCTGGGCAAAACACGGTTGAGGGCATGACCGTGTTTTGCTTTTGCCCGTCCGTGCCCTTGCCACGTGTTAAAAACACGCCCACATCTGGCAAAACACGGTCGTGCCTATAGATGGACACGACCGTGTTTTCTGTCACTCCCGCCCGTGTTTTGGGACATCGCAGGAGCACCTTGGATCAAGCCTCGGCATAAATAACACGGCCCAGGAACACGGCCGTGTTTGTGTTTAGTCCAACCCGTGTTCTTCCTCATCAGTTCAGCTCTCGGCATAAAAAAACACTGGCGTGCTTAGCCTTTCTTTCGACGTCTGGGACCTGAAATATGACAAAGTAGCATAACCCAACGTAAAACGGACCAAAAATACACGGCTACGAGCCGCAAACGGATGAGAACTAAGGGTGCAAACATGTGTAAATACATCGTTATCATACTTCTTTTTCTATATAATACATCTTGAGAATTTTGTAGATACGATCTGGTGGAAAATAAATCCTCTGTTGGCCCATCCGAAGCCGGCGAAGATTGGGGTTAAAGAATGCACAGAGCAAGACCCTAGATTGTGTAGTTGATTCTGGTCTCTGTTGGAGCCAACTTTGCCTTCTGTTGGTACTGGTTTTGATTCCTTTCCTTAATGTAAACTAGCGTCGGGTCCGGCCCGTTGGGCGGGTAAACTAAACATAATCGTATCATTTGATAAATGTTGGAACATGAACTCAATTTAAAACGTATTAATTTTTGGTTACTTTCAGTTAAAAATTGTTCGGTTAAAGTGTTTATAAGGGAAGCTGAAATTAAACAATTGGGATGTAATCTTGCAAACATAATAATAAGCATCACATCGGTAATGTGATGCAAGAATGGTATATGAGATGAACTCAATTGAAAACGTTTAATTTGTTTTGGTAACTTTCAGTTAAAAATTGTTTAGTTAAAGTGTTTATAAGCGAAGCTGAAATTAAACAATTGGGTTGTAATCTTGCAAACATAATAATAAGCATCACATTGGTAATGTGTTGCAAGAATGGTATATGGGATGATCGAAAAAATGTAAATAGAAATACCAACGTAGCCCAACAAAAACTGACCCGTGAATTTGGTAGTTTAAATTTAACCGTTAGAGTAAAAAAAAATAGAACTCTTTATTAAAGTAAACTCAATATTGGAACCAATAAAAAGTAAACTCATTATTCTGACAAAAAAACCGAAAAGGAAAGTCATTGTAATTTAGATAGCTAATGAATTAGAATTCAATCCAACCAAGGGCAAACTTACCGGCCGACCAGAACCACAGGTCAGATTTTGACCTCCCTCATCCGCCCCATCTCTTTCCAGAAACACATAATTCTGGAACCCTTCTTTCCTCCGTCTCCTTCCCATAGTTGGCGGTTTCATGTCGGGAAGGTTCTTATCCTAGGTGTGCCCATCGCGCTGTAGAGGAAACCAATCCAGCCACCTATCCCGCTCCCGACTGCGCCACTTGAAGTAATTGGTGGTCCGTTTCTGAAGTAATTGGCGCTCGTCCTAGCTGTGCCCATCGTGGTCTGTTTCTGAAGATCTAGATCTGAAGAAGACCCACAAATTGATTCTCTCAAGTTCCTGGACAGTACCATCAGTGGTGGGAGAGCGCGCAACCAAAACGGAAGAAGAAGGCCATCAATTGCGTCGGTCATCAAATCTTTGTGGGTGTTCCTCAATGGTTATAGAGGATCGAACCAGGGCGGAAGAGGTACCTCTTTGCTATTGATTAGGGCGTGCATGCCTTCTGGTTTGGGGTTCTCCAATGGGTATGGAGGGTATTGGGTTGGAAGGCAGTAGAATCCACCCATTGCAAGCCCTTTCGCTCTTCATGACTGCTTGGGGTTTTTGCACCATGGTTCCAGGTAACTGTTTTTGGCCTTCATCGTTAGGTCAATGTTCTATTAAACAAACTCGGAATTTATCTAGAGAATACTGACTTGGCATTTCTGATTTGTCTAAAACAGACTAATGGGGTGGTGGTCTATCGATGAAGGAAGTAGAGAGGAACATGCCAGGCTATACCAGGAGGGTGCTGCTGGGTTAGTCTATGATTCTATGTTATTAATCAACAATCTTCTGATTTTCTGCAGTCATTACATGACTAGGGGCAAAATGGTTTATGTGTCTTAAGATGATCTGTTTATGCTCATTTCTCAGTTTGAATCTCATTCATTGTACTTTTTTATTTTCCCCTGAGAATGGTTTATTAAGCTGTGGATCCACTCTGAATTGTAAGGAAGCCAAAACCATAACATTTTTTTCGAATCCAGGAACAGGAATGTTGATTGTGGGTAAGCAATGGAGAAGCATTGAGATGGAGAAGAAGCACAGCCTCTGTGAGGGTGCAGTAGCTCAGGGTCCGGTTCTTTCCTGTTGTTAGAGACTGTTGTGGCGTTGTCATGTAAGTTTAACACAACCTTGATTTCTTTTACAGATTATGTGTGTTAGATCGAAAAACTAAGGTGTGGTAGAATAACAGAAGGTCAAATTGTTGTGTAGAAGTCGAAATAGTAAATCCAATAAACCAACTAACAGAAACACTATCATACCCAATAATGGTGGAAAACACCAGCAAGTACAAAGATCAGCAAATTAATAATGTATGCTGGGAAAGTTTTAATAAGTAGAACAACCCTCAAGAGAATGAAGTGCAAATAGTCCTCTAATATATAAGCTACCTGAATAACTTGCGGAACACTAAATTGAAATCATTAGTCACCGGGTTAAAGTCACCGACTTCAACCATGAACTTAAAGGAATTGCCCCTTAGATAAGCTAAGAGGTTCCTAAAGTTGTTGGACCACTCATTGTCACTCTCCTCAATGATGCGACTTGCTATCCAACGGAACTTCCCAGTTGTGAAGATAAACGTACCCTCATCAACTCCATTAGCAACAATCATACACACTAAGTACTTCAATTTCTCAGCTGACCAGAAAACATCAACATCTTGTACTTGTCCAACAAAAATGTAGAGACTACCCTGGTATGTGAATGAAAAAATATGTTGAATCCCAAATAATGCCAAGACTATTGATTATTAAATCCAGCGAAACTCTAAATGATTAATTGAATCCCCTCCAAGTTCATAGAAAATGCTCAATTCAAAGCCGCCATTTGAAACCACTACAAACTTCCAATCAAAACGTGGTAACATCATGCATGTTTCTGATTTTCTCTTCACTGAAATTTGACCAGGTCACTATTATCAATTTGGCAGAATAATCTGTTTTTTACTGTTCGGATAAGCTCCAGTAACTTAATTATAGTAAGGTAGGGGGAAATGAGACAGGAAAAGCATAAAAGAGTACAATAACCCACCTGATTATTGATGTCATTCTTGTAGAGGTTCAGTTCTGGGATTGAGCAGGGTGTGCTCACCCATATAGCAACCTCAAAGGTGTAATCAATGGCCAGATTGGCATTTTCCAAACTATGACATGAGCAAATAGGTTACAAACTGGTTTTCAGGCCAATATAACAACCCAATTGGCGGGTGTAACTTAGAAATTGGATGCTTACTTATGAAGCAGAGTGTGTGCAATCGGATAGTGCAAGTTCCAATAAGTCTTGGTTGCATTTGAGGCCACACAATAAGCTTGGCCTAGAATTAGAGCATACAGAAATTATGAAAGTTAGAAAACCAAATATTCGCTACATAAAATCCAACCTTAAACAGCAAAGTAACTATAAGTACCATTGAAATGGTGCACAACAACAGAAGTAAAAACCACAACAGCTCTTGGGGTTGGATGGTTTGGCATCACAACATCAAAGTGGTCAATTAAGTCATCCCATAACACTATTTCCACAATAGGACCTCTGTAAAACAGGAAAACCAGGGTATTTAGAATTCAAAAGTAAGCAAGCAGCAGCAGTAAATTGGTTTTTTTTTAGATCAGAACAACACAAACCGCATCATCTTAGCAGAACACTCTTTCGCCTCAAAAGAGCAATATCTTCAAATAAGGCTTCTTCAGGGTCCGCAAGAACCAACACTCCAATTATATCTAAGCATAGACAAAATTATTAGAGCTCAAAACGAAAAAGCCAAAAAATAAATCATGCAAGGACATGATCATAATTACCAGACATGTAGGCATGATTGTGAACTGCATTGGGAAGATCAGCAGCATCCAAAAACTGGAAATTGTAGGCAGGTATGTCTTGTCCATTAGGGACCTCTTCAACCACAATGTCCTCACGAAAACAGATTCGGAGGTTGGCAGGAGAAACTCGATGGTCATCTTCATAGGGTCGGACATGAAAGTTAGTCAACCTGTAAATCCTTCTCTCATTTAGTAGAAAGGGATCAAACAATGATATCTCATCCGTATCAACCAAGCCTTCAATCTCTGTTCCCTTAAACCACAATGGATTTCAATTCAGTGATATCCAAAGTCCAGTCCCATCTAAAGCACGTACAACAAATGAACAGAACAAACCTGGTTGTCGAGAAATAGCATATGAAATTGTTCAATTGTGATCCCGTCAGGCCTCATTGTCCGCCATAGACGAAGCAGCCTAACACGAACAGCGGAATCGTCATTGTGTTGATTGAGATGGGCTAGGCTTAGGAGCGGCATCACATACGTGAATGAATGAAACAGAGCAACGAGGTTGAGAATTATGAAATGTTCTAACTGCCTGCAAATGCTCATTATATAGTTTTTAAATTAAACATGGGTAATTGCTGGAATAAGAGTGGATGAACGTGGGTGTGGTGTGATGCAATGGGAGAAGGGTAATTATTATTTTTTTGTGTATAAAATATGCTTGAATAGAATGAGTGGATGACATGGGTCTTTTTTATCCCTCTGCCATTTTGGGCTTACTTGGGCCTTTTTTAGCCCGTAGGCCAGAATTAGTCTGGATCTTGATTGTTTGTTTATTCTACCCGGAAATGGGGACTCTCTGGAAGACAAAATTGGGATGAATGGTATGTTCTGTTGCGTATGTTTTGAACATATTGATATCTTATTACCTTTTAACCTTGAGCTATTACTTAGTTCTGCATTTGTACCCAAAGAGTCCATATACAGAGTGCTCATATGTGCGATGTTTCTGTTAGAGCTTAGAATAGAATAAGGTTATCTATGAATATGATGCTGGAACAAAGGCACACAAAGTTAATTGCTTCTGTTATTAGCATAAGCTCTGAAATTGTCAATGGTATGATACTTTTGTGGCCTAACCCTTATGAAAGAATTATGTACTCTCGTAAGCGAGCATAGAAGGATTGGCTGATTTAGCATAAGTGAAGGCTTCTAGTAGTGTGTCTCCCGGATAGAGTTTTCTGGATTCTGACTAATAGTATGACTGGGCTAATGCAGGGTTTGGTTGAATCGTAAGTTTGGTTCTGCATATTGCAACATCGATCTAGGCACGATGTGGAAATGGAGACAGTCAATGATCCTTTCATTGATGCTAAGTACATGGTAAGAATTGGCTTAGTAACTATTAACATTTCTTTTCCCTATACTCCAAATGAAAGTAAACTTTGGTGATGTCAAAGTTGGTTAATTGTACTGGATTGTTCTCTGAAATGTAATTCAATATGTTTCATTTGAAATTTGACGATGAATTGGCATGAGTATAGTTGTTCCCGCATTGAAATCTGAAAGCAAAGCACATCTTTTCATTTTATTTGAAAAAAATTTCTCATTCACTATATTTTATTCATTATATTCAGGCTTACATGTTTAAGTATGATTCTACTCACCGCAGATGAACGAACAACAAACGAAACTGAGTTTTGTGGGTTTACTCTGCAGTCATGTCTTCTGCGATCGACCAAAACAAAACAACACTACCCTCTGACGGATTTCCATTAGTTTCAACCAAAGGCAGCCTGTGTTTTTTCATTGTACACCTCAAGGTCTATCACAGGACCATGAGCCCATTGTTGACCCAAATTGGTTACTAATTTCACGCAAGAAGCATCTAATGGATCATTATAATATTAGGAAGGTACTTAAGTTTGATTGGCTAACGTTGGATTGAGCTTATATTTTCAGTTTATCAATCTCAGAAGTAGCCACAGTTGGTATAGAAGACTTGGGTTCGTGATCAGGGTCGAAGGTGGATTTATTCTTCATTGGTACATTCGAATTCATTAAGGACTACAAATTTATCAAAGTAATAATGAAACATGAGCTGGCTGAGATTATCCAGAGAGCCCTCATACCCATACTGAAACCTATCTTCCATTTAATGAAAGAAAAGAAAAATGAAAACACCACACTATTTGATTGAGGGTGCTTGAATGAGAAAAGCAATAATCCATACACCCAAATTATCAAATAAAGAAGTACTTATCATAATCGGAAAGCCATAAACTCCTTGAAAGAAAGAGTCAATGTTGCAAACTTGAGACACAACAAAGGGAAAAAACTTCAGACACAACAAAGGGAGTAAGGAAACAACAAGTGTTTGGACACATAGAAAGCAAAATAGAAACAAACAGATGGTGGGCTATTATATTTAGAAATCAAAGTGAAAGGCCACTTAGCAACAAAGAACCCAGTGGCCTCGCAAGTTCCAAGGAAGCACCATCACGCCAAAGGCATCTTTCGTTTGAGTTTGTTGTCAGGAGGCATAGACCCAGAATCTTCGGCTGTTGAAATGGGGATGGATTGGTCAGATGAAGTTTGGGAGGACTCAAGGCCACTACTGAGTGATGAGGAGGAGCTGTCTTTGTGCAGATTAGAGTCCGAACACTGAGATAGAAATGGTGGCAAGAAACAAAAATTAGTTACAGTAGTTATGGCCTGCAGAACTTAGTGATCTTATTAGCATTCATGTTAAACACACCTGTGTTGGGTCTACTGGCAGAAAAAATGCAAGCTTAACCACATAAAAAGATATCCAGGCCTTATAAGAAAGCTTACCGTTGCTTCAGGCTCCAAAATTTTTAACACTGTGAAATCGGGTTGAGCATTACTATATAGATTTGGCTTGAACTTCACATGGAACAACTTGGTGACACCAACTACTTTGAGCAGATCTGCAGGGGGTTCTTCGTAGTTTTGACCAGTTCTATTGAATAGCTCATTAGCAGTCAGGCCAAAGAATCGTTTCCCTTCATACTCGAAAATTATAAAGGTTGCTGACTTTGAATTGGCTTTAACCTCAAGCTGAATCCGATATATGAAAGCACAGGAATGAAAGGTCACTTAGTTTAAAGAAGGCTGTAGTTTTCATATGACAGCCAGTTTGAGGCAACAAAAACAAAGGAACTTTACTTGGCAGCTCTAATTGGAGTCAGCTTGTTGCATTTCACACAGTAGTATTCTCCATTCCTTTCTATGGGTTTAAGGACACAGGTTGGGCAACCCACGTAACACCAAAATGGCTTGATCCCCACTACTTTGCAAGTAACCAAATAAACACATTCCTAATAAATCCTGATTTGAATTAGTATGTAGGAATAAGTTGGAAATGTATAAGATTCAAGAACAAAATTTAATGTCACCTCGCTGTCCGGATCCACATGTAATCCCAGCAATTCAGGCAGAGAAAGTGCAGGAATGGGGGCAGGTGGGGGCAGCTCAACATACAGGGGCTGCTCTGGTTGTACATCTCTTTAAGAAAGGAAATAAAGGCTTCAATGAAAACTGACTTAACAATATAGTGCAGATATTGAGTAGCACGTAGGAATTAGTAACAATACCTTGTTGTGAAAGCCTTCACTTATGGTATATCAAGGTTAGGATACATGATTGTTGACCCAGAAGAAGAAAAGGAAAGTTGACCTATAAAGGCCAAGTCAATTGCTTTCTATCCATAACAAATACCATAAATTTCAGATGCCTGAATTGAGCAATATCCTTACTCTTGAATAGATTCACAGAAACAGCAGTGACTACCAGAATTATTGGTTGATCACCAGCAGGTTTGACTATTTTATCAAATTCAGTTACAATTCTACCCCAGATAACAACTTTCACAACATCACCTCTGCACAAAAATTTGGAAACAGTTTCAGGTCATAGGTAATGAATAACTAAACTAAACAGAAGATAATACAATAAATTGATGGACTAAAAGTATACCCAACACAACAAAGTTTGATGTACGAACTTTGAAACAAAGTAACTCTAGTTGAACAAAGTTTCCAGGAGCTAGCTACATGATTTGAGACATCTAACCACTTTACTTATTAAGATCATGTAGTTCACAGCACTACACAGTGGGCCATAAAACACTTCAACCTGAAAACCAATTCAATCCAACTTTCTAACAAAGAATCTCTTCTTGACAAACTGGCACCACATATTGGAATGACATCAGATTAGCTAATTTCTTTAGCTATTAAGCATAATCAAGTCCACAGGACCAAACACTGGGCCATGAAAGTCTTGAACACAAAAGCTAGCTAAATCATGATATATGAGTATTAACCAATACAAATTATTTGTCTTTATTAGGGTGTCTAGCTACATTCATTTGTGTAAATAAGCTAACAGAAATTATTTGCCTCCAAATGCTAACAGAAATTGGAGTTGTACACAACAAACAATCAAAACTTATGATAAGATTCAACACTTAGTCATGTTCTTCCAAGTGTAAGGGTGGTAGGAATGTACTCAATCAGTTTCAGCTCAAGTTCTTTTCTAGTGGTTTTTCGAGAAAGATTGGTTGTGATTAGGAGATTCGAGTGCTTCACCAATTCGCCAACAACATCTACGATACAAAAGAGGGAATTAACATTAGAACCAATTAACACCATAAGCAGCAGCAACCATGCATAATGAGGAAGGAAGTTACCTGAGAGGATGATGATTTGTCCCAATTTATCTTTCATCTCACTTGCTTTAGTGAAACTGAACTTGGAGGCAGGAATGGAAGGGATGTCAGGAACACGTTGGACAGTAGTCATCCGATTAAAAGTCATGATATATGAATTGGCAATAGGGAGATATTTGAGTTGGGTCGTGTGAATTTCGTAGTCCTTGATGATGTAAACTTCTTGCTCCTGCAGCAGTGCATTGAAATGCTCTTGCAACACCGGTGGGATGTGGACCCATATATCATTTCCCTGACAATATTGAAACGAAAAGTTAAATGAAATCATCTATCTTGGAAGGTCAATAAAGAAACGAAGATATCTTTACAGAACATACGTACCTTGGAATCCATCATGATCATGTCTAAATGCAGGACTTTGTCTGTCGTGACACTTGCACCAAGCCAAAGCCTAGAGATGCAACAATGGCCTGCCCAGATTTTTTTCTCAGACTGAAGATCTCGCATGCCATTAAAATCCATCTTCTACCTAGCAGTCGAACATGTGGTAAATAGTTATAAACCTGAGGAACTAAGTTGGTTTGACGGTAGGAAACAAATGGAGTTTTTTAGAGGAGAATAGGTACCTGGTAACTAGACAGAGTGCAATATGAATACTGAGGTGAATCGGGGAACTTGAAGCAGATAAAGGCCGACCATTGCTGTGGCGACAGTTACCAAACAACCCACGTTGCCCACGACTGAAAACATCACCGGGGCGGTTACTGAGAGCGCGCCCTGCGTCAGTTGGCAAGGGGATGTGGAACTCAGGATTCGGACAGGGGATTTTTTAGCTATGGCGGTTATCCCCAATTTCAAATACACAAACATAGGCATACGCTGAAAGCAATCAACTGGAGGAATTGTGATGTTGCCGGTTCCGACAACAATGGGAATCCCTTTCTACAGGCGAGATTGATTCATAAACAACTATGTGGTTGCGCCTGGCGTTCAGAATGGCGGTGGAGCGTGTTTTGCTATTATAAATGGGCGCCGGAAAGGTTGGGAGAGGTGTGAGTCGATGGTGGTAGTCGATTCAGCTTCAACATGTGGACCGAAACCTGCTCCACTGCTGTTTTGCGAAACGATATGCACTATTCATGTCTTGCTGTGGGCTATAGATGGCCCATAATGTGAAGCAGGCCCATGTGAAATACGTTCTTGGCTTTTTAACTTAAATTGGGACAATTTATATATCTATCTACCTTGGTGAAGAGTAAAGGGCTTTTGGAATTCAACCCCTACCACATTAGGCATAAACAAAAATTAGGCTTCCATGTCAGCATCCCTAAATAACAAATTGTACCGTTTTTTCCCTTACAAATCCCCTTAGAAGTAGCAAACCTTCCAGAAACTAAATAATAAATTATTGCATGTGCCATTCAATTGTTTTTCCCCATTTTAATCTTCTTTTCTATAAATAAATGACATTTCTTGAAACCAATTCAATAGCAGGTAAGTAGCTAAATAATATACATATTGGTGCTATTTGGATTATTACATAGTAGAATTGCAATTGGCTCAATCATTTTGGTTTAATTAGTTTAGAATCCGAAAGCATGAAGTTATGATCGGATACAGATGAATGGATAATAGAATTAAAGATTTATTTTGCACCGTGGATGGGTGGATTTTGGTTGGATTTATACTCCGACCCGAACCGTCTCGAACGGGAGGGTTTTAATTTTATTGGGTGGGTTTGGGTTTTATGATTTATAAACCGTGGTGGTGTATGGGTTGGGCGACTAAAAAGCCACCTTCCGTGCATATATATATTCCACACCTATTGTAGCTGATTTGGATGGCTATTTGGACATTCTAGTTGGAACCTCATTTGACTTGTTTTACGTCCTGGATCACCGCGGTAAATGCTTAATCTTTTCCATTTCCATTTCCATTCATTGCCCATTGTAATCCTTATCGTGAGATTCCAATAAAGGTTTTTCTAATTCGTTCTATTCTGTTACTTGCTCTTCTGTTCTGTTAGAGCTATTTTGTTCTAATTCGTTCGATCTATTGCATTCTTACCAGGTAATGTTAGAGAAGTTTCCACTCGAAATGGCTGAAATTCAGGGAGGAGTAGTTGCTGCTGATATTAATGATGATGGTAAAATTGAACTGGTGCATTGATTGTTAGGAACGGAACAACAACAAGAATGAGGTTATCGAATCTGGAACTGAGTCGCGGACTAGGTCGCTCTCATTAAGACGTTCGCGGCACTGCCCTCGATGCGCACGGTAGACTATCACCCGGTCGTCTCCAGCATAAAACAGCTCCTCTCAATACTCGGGGTTTTGTGTGAAAACCCGAGTTCTCTGAACACTCTCTCTATTGTGTTTATGCTCGTTGTGGTGTGTTTAGAGGGGCTGGGGAGACGGCTATTTATAGAAGCCGAACCCCTAGAAATATACCCTCTTGCTTGGGGAATAAGTCAGATTAATTAAGGAAGATAATTACTTCCTTAATTAAAAACCGTCGGTTAAGATAAATCCTGCGGGATTATCCTTCGAATATTCCTCAGAATAATCGATTAATAATTAATTATTAGATAATTAATTTCGTTCGGAATTTCTCCAAAAATTATAAATATAGTCTCAAGTGAACCAACTGACCGACCGACAGACCGACCGTCCGGTCGGACGGACAGCGGTGCGCGCGCGTGTGGTGGTCCGTTAGGTCCTCCCTCTCCCACAAAAGTGGGTCACCCCAAGGGGCATGCCCTTAGGAGAGAGGCTCCTATCTTTATACACATTTCACCAAGTAAAACTACCAATGTGGTAGTTTTTCCACTTGAGACTCTATAGCTTTCAAAGCTATTCATATATACATATCCAACAATCCCCCACTTGAATAGTTTTGAAACTATCTCTGAGCATCAACAGTTCCATAAGATCCGGCATAAGCTAAGGTATTGCGAAGATTTGAACCTTAGCGTAGTGGTTACACTTCCGATTTCATAAGGGTGACTCGTAGTCTTGAACCCTATCTCAGACAGTGTAGCACACCAGATCTTTTCATTGAGTTGTGTTCCCTTCTTAGCCCGTGCGTTTATGGTCATGCACGTTATCCTAGTTTAGTGAACGCTCTAACAACTTTGTGCCTCCAAAGTTCCATAGGGAGCGGCCCCACTCCCACATTCACATAGGTGAGTCTATCAGGAGTACCCCCAAAGTAAAGGACTCCACCCCACAAAGGGTATAGATCTCATTAAGAGTTATTAACTCAACCAACTTGCTTTTTCACTAGCCGTTGCTAGTGCTATCATCTCTGATTCCATAGTTGATTGAGCTAGGATTGTTTGTTTCTTTGACTTCCAAGACACAGCTCCACCAGCGATGTTAAAAACATACCTGCTGGTTGCCTTGGAGTCATCTGATAGGGTATTCCAATCCGCATCACTATACCCTTCTAGTACAGCAGGAAACCTTTGATAGTGTATACCAAGGTTTGCTGTTCTCTTGAGGTATCTCATGACCCTCTCTATAGCATTCCAATGCTCTCTACTAGGACAGCTGTTAAACCTGCCAAGAAATCCCACGAAATATGCAATGTCTGGTCGAGTGTAATCCGCAGCATAACGGTGACTGCCAATGATGCTTGCATATTCTGATTGTCTTACACTATCTCCAGTGTTCTTAAATAGCTTTACACTCGCATCATACGGAGTACAAGCAGGTTTACAGTCGAAATAGTTATATTTCTTCAAGATCTTCTCTATGTAGCTAGATTGATCTAGAGAATAACCATTTGTTGTTCTGGTTATCTGGATTCCAAGCATAAACTTTGCTTCTCCCAGATCTTTCACCTCAAAACTCTCTTTCAACATGGTTTTTGCTTCATTGACCACGTGAATATTTGTACCAAATATCAACATGTCATCTACATACAAACATATGATAGTGCAAGTGTTATTTTCTTACTTGTAGTAAATACACTTGTCACTTTCATTCACCTGAAAGCCATGTGAGAGAACGAGAGTGTCAAACTTCTCATGCCACTGTTTTGGAGCTTGTTTCAAAGAATATAATAATTTGTCTAACTTACAGACTTTCGAGGCATGTTCGGGGATAACAAACCCTTCTGGTTGTTCCATATAGATTTCTTCATCCAGATCACCGTTCAAAAAAGCGGTCTTAATATCCATTTGGTGTACCACGAGATTGTTCAAGGCAGCAAGAGCAATCATTACACAAATGGATTTTATTCTTGATACTGGTGAATAGGTATCGAAGAAATCTATATTCTCTCTCTGCCTGTAGCCCTTAACTACTAGGCGAGCTCGAAACTTTTCGATTGCACCATCAGGTTTCCATTTCGTTTTTAGAACCCATTTTTTACCTAAGACTTTGCAGCCAGGAGGTAAGTCTGTTAGATGCCAAGTCTTATTAGCTTCTAACGATTCCATTTCATCTATAACGGCCTCATTCTAAAAATCTGCATCTATGGAAGTTAATGCTTCCTGCAAACTTTTTGGATCTTCGAGGGTCTATACTGTAGTAAAGTCATCACCAAAATGTTTAGAGATTCTAGCTCTTTTACTTCTTCTGAGTTCATCCTCAGAACCAACACCCCCACTAGTTCCGTTATCTCTAATAGCGGGTAGTACATTACCCCCACTATTTCTCATTTTAAATGGAAATCGTGTCTCAAAGAAATCAGCATCAATAGATTCTATTATAGTACGAGCATTCAAATCATAGAATCTATATGCCTTACTATTAGCCGCATAGCCAACAAAGACACATTCATATGCTCGACTAGCCAACTTAATCTTCTTAGGATCCGAAATTCTTACGTAGGCCAAACAGCCCCACGTTCTTAAATAGGACATATTAGGTGGCTTATTCTTCAAGATCTCATAGGGTGATTCTTTTCTATTTGTTTTTGGAAGACGGTTTAGCACATAGCAAACCGTCAACAAAATATCACCCCAACAAGAAGAAGCAGCTCCAGAATTGAGCATAATAGCCACAACTAATTCTGTAAATGTCCTATTTTTCCGCTCAGCTTTACCATTCATTTTTGGTGAATATGGTGTCATGGTTTCATGAATGATACCATGTGAGCTATAGAATTCCTTGAAGGGATTAGAGTCATACTCTGATCCTCTATCACTCCTAAGTCTTTTTATCTTTCGATTGCACTGATTTTCAAATTCAACCACAAATACCTTGAACATGTCAAGGGCTTCACTTTTGTTTTTCATCAAATAAACAAAGCAATAATCAGAGCAATCATCTATGAAAGTGATAAAGTATCTCTTGCCAGACCTAGTTAACTTCCCATCTAGTTCACAAATATGAGAATGAATCAGATCTAAGGGTTCTGATTCTCTACTCACAGATTTATGGGGCGTTTTCGTTATTTTAGCTTGGCTACAGAAATCACATTTATCAAATTCATTCATTGAGAGTTTAGGGATATGTCCTAGCTTTCTTAAATTCTTCACAATTCGTGTGTTCACATGACAAAGACGAGCATG